GACAAACTTTATGTCCAATAAGTTGTCTGTTCTGGCCACCTTGATCCTAATTTCTGCAGCTTGGAGTTCTGTCGCGCAGCGTAAAGGTTTCTGATTTGACTGGGCTTGCGGCACTCTTGGGTATGTTGGAAGCAGACAGTGGCAGAGCAAGTCGAGTATATGGTTCCCTTCTTGGTTAAACTTCTCCCGATGGATTCGTTGATCTCCTGGAATCATGTACTTGAAGAAACGGAAGGCGAGCTCGGCGAGGGAATGAGTGCATTGTTTAGGAATTGGAACCACTTCGAACAGTCTTTGAAGAATGAACAAGGGAATTTGGTTTTCCAATAACATCAAGTTGGATCTCAAATCGAAGAGCTTTCCAGGAGTGTTGAATACGGGATCATTGCGGCGTCTTAAACTCTTTACAGTGTACTTCAGGAAGAGTTCGATGATGAAACAGCCATCGACTAACATCATTTGCAGGAATTCATCATTTGAGATGTTGATCTCTTCTTCATAGCATGCACGTGCTCTATGTTCCACCTCCTTAAGGGCTGTAAGACAATCATTCAGGGATGCTTCAAGGTTTGGCTTTCGATTGAGGAGTGCATGGACGTAGCGCCACTTGTGCTCTTCCATGGCTTCCAATCCTTGCTTGCCATGGTGGTATGGACCAATTGAAACTTTGTCAGGGACGTATGCCTTCTCATTTGCATTGTGAAGGCTTTCCTTGACCCTGCAGATGGAATGAGAACAAGAAATTGTTTCCATTTTTCTTCTGATAGAAGCTACAAGATTCTCGCCATGACTGATGTCAATTGAAACATGGTCTTTGTCTCGCATCTGCGTTGCAGATGAAATGGACATTTCCATAGTCAAATGAAATCAAAGCAACCTGCAATAGCAGTTCTGTGAAAACGCTGAACTAGTATTGTCTCTTCTACAACTAATGAGATTATCTGTCTCTTCACAAGTAGTGGATTTTTTTTTTAATATGATATTTCCCGTCACAGTAGATGCAAAAGATACTCGGAACCGAAATCTGGACCTTAAAAACATCCAGGTTTTCAAGTTCTTGCTTAATTTTTTTTGCCCCCTTCTCAGCAGCTAAAAAAGGTTTGCTTGATATACGTTAGCAAAATTTTAGACACACTGTGCGAGCAAAACTTCGCAAGGAAAATGAAAAAATATGTTTTAGGGACATGTACCTTGCTGTGGTGGCTGTAGAGTTTCTCAAAGAACTCCCCAAGAAGCAGATGCTGACCTTTTCCTTACGGTGTTTGCTCAGCTATTACCAGAAGCCAAAGTAGTAACTAGCATTTATTTGGTTTAATGTTGAATTTAGTTTATAGAGCATAAGGGATTTGTATTCGCAAGATATAAAAGAATCCAAGATGACTTGTTGAATGAAAGGAATAAATTATTCGTGTTTGCCTTCCAAACTGAAAGGCATCCTGTAAACTGTTGCAAGAAAGCGTGTAGCTTTGTTCAAAGTAAAGGTTAAACTGATTGCTTTAGAGCCAATTCAAGAATTTAGTAACAGTACATTACCTATCAATACAGAAATTTGTCCAACAGAAACGTGAGTCATCAGATACAAGAAATGAAAAACTGAAGAATATTTTCTTCATCACACGAGGAGGATCAGGCGGTGGTGATAGACCCTATCATCGCATTGAGAGGATGCACCAACAGGGAATCAAACCCGCATCTACACCGTGACAGAGTATTACTGTACTACTAGACCACTTGTGCTCCTTAGGCTGCCTTCTTTCCACCCCAAACCCCAAAAGGTATTATAAATGAAAGCAATTTGGAAATCGATCAGAATCAGACATGGGATGATTAAAAAAAAAAAAAAAATCCTCGATAATCTATTATTCTGATAGTTGGAAGTAATATTTTTTATATAACAAATAATCAGGAATTCAATATTTGTGATTTTTGAGCATTTGTTATTTAAGTTTCTATTCCTTTGTTTTTTTTTTCTATACATCTGCACTTCAATTAATTTATTTTCAAAATACCCTTGATGTACCAATGATTTCAACACTCTTGAGAAGAGTTTTTTTTTTTTTTTGAAAAAAAAGTATCCAATTGATTGTTTTTTTCTAAAAAAGCGGAAACTCGATAGAAAAAAAGTACAAATTTTTGATAAAATGCAAATGCTAGAATTATTATTATCATCTCTTCGAAGAATAACATTTTTATCCAATTAAAGATAGACGAGTGGCCTCTCGTTTTCGTTGTCTATCTACCCTCATGTAATCAAATGATAGTCATATCATAAAAACTGAAGGTATTTTAAGAGATTAAGGAAAATGGAGCTAAGTTAAAAAACTCCCTTCTTCACCTCATATTATTTTTTTTCTTTTCTTTGTTACAATTTTTTTTCTTTCTAAATAGCCTAATTAGTTATGTAGGATTACTCAAATATCAAAAAATCTTTTATTATTATTTCAAAGCAATTTACTATATTTAAGAGAATAAATTTTATTAGGTGTTGAATTTAAAATTCAAATTTTGAAAGTAAAAAAAAAATAGTAAACTTAGTATATATTTTTCATTCCTGTAGAGCTTTCCTCTCATGGCAGTGAGCCGGGTACAAAATGGGTACCTTATTCAACTCGCTCATTAATTATCCTTTTAAAATATCCTAATGGGTAATGAGCTAAATATGAGTAAAATAATATTAATCATTTATGTTAATAAACAATTTATTCATGAATATGAGTATCCTCTTTTTATCTTATTAATATCTATCTTTTACCAATTAACATAAAAGAAATACTAAAATATAAAATTTTAAAATAAACAAAAGAAAGAGAAAAAAGTATGTTACTTTGTTTTTGGTTGTGAAAGTTTATCAAAAACCAATTTTAATAGCTAATAGTTCTCAGTTTTGATTTTTAACAATTTTTCTCGTTTTTGTTTTTCAAGAATTTGAAAACGAAAACCACAAATAATCCAAAATGATCCATTTGTTTTTTTTTTGTTGGTACAATTATATATACAAAGAAGTATATTAATTAAAGCCAAACTGAATATTTACGAATTAATCAGTATTTTTTTTATCTTAAATACTAATTATATAGTCTAATTGATTAGTGTTGAAAATATTTAATTTAATATTATTTTATTATAAAAACTATTTTTTTCTCCTCAATTTTCCATAATATCTATTTATTTATTTTTCTTTTTTTAGTAAATTCAAAGATTAACTAGCTCAAATAATGGTGAAAGGTGTTATCCTCAAAGCATATATTAGCGGGTAAATTAAGAGAACAAAAATATATTGGCTCAATATCACATGTACTACAAGTGAATTTTTCCAAATACCACATTGCATCTTAGCGACCATGAAATCACACGCACAAGCTTCAACTTTCGCCACATCATCAACCAAGGCACTCGAATTTGGTAACAATTATCAAATGGAAAATGATTTACAAACATAATTTTTATTATAAAATTTTATATAAAATGATGTGTTAAGTGATAAAATATAGATTCTATAACTAATGAATGATTGGTTTTGTATGATAAAAATTCAAGTCACTGTTTGCACAAAAGCTTGTTTATATAGAACATTACTCTTATTAAATTAATAAATAATTGAGAAAAAAATAAAGGACTGTCCACATTTTGTTGTGTAGTTGTAGATGTACGTAACAGATTAGAAATAAAATTGAAAACTATCGTAATTTTAAGTTTTTTTTTTTTTTTTTTATTCCCTTCCTCTGTATTAATTACCACCAATTTAGAGAGAGACATGCATTTTAACAAGAGGAGGGAATGGAGGGTAAGAAAATTTCCTTTCACTTTTATTAAGAAGCTAGTTATTCCAAATATATAATTAATTAGTTCTTCCTTTCTCTTAATTTATCTCCTTCCCAAACAACTCATAAATCTTAATTTACTTCAACAACCACTTCATATTAATTTACTTCATCATTTTAATTAAAAAATTTAATAAAAAAAGTAAAAAAAAAATCTTTAATTAAAAAACAATTAATGGGTAAATGAGTATGGACAGAGTATGATATAATGAGTATAGACTGAATAAAGAAATAGACAAATAATTTTTAATAGATAATAAATAAGATAATGGGTATAATATTTTTTTGTGATTAAGGTAAGAAATTGGTTTAATGGGTTGGTACCTGGTCTCATGAATGAATCGCCACTCTCCCCGTCCCGCTATTTTATTTTTATTCATTCTTTTTTATGACTAAAATATAAACTAGTCTTTTTATTTATTTTTAAATAAATAAATTAATTATTTTTGTTCTAAAAAATTAATATTTAATTTTTATCTAATATTAACTCCGTTTAATATATATATATGCGTGTGTGTGCGCGCGTGCGTGTGTGTTATTTTTTTATTAATCATTCCATAATATTTATTTATTTATTTTTAAAATAAAAATCAGAATAAATTGAAAAATAAGAAAAAAATAAATTATAAAAATATTTAAAAACATAAATCGTAAATAATAAGTTTTTAAAACACGAAAAAGTGATTAATTCGTTTTTGAAAACGAAAGAGAATAATTTATAATTTACTCTTCTTTTTCTTGAAAAAAAGAAACGAAAAAATAGACGCGTCATGCAATCCCACTGGAGTCCCTGCACGGCGCACCTGCCAAAGCAAACACTGGACCAGGTCACTACAAGAAGCACCCCTATCTTGCCAACTAATTACGATGCTATTAGAGAAACAAGTAAAGAGGAAAAGCAGCAACCCAAAGCTACAAGGAAGTAGGGTAGAAAATTGTATTTTAGCGCTTTTTTTTTGGTTACCATCATTTCATTTTATTTATTTTTTACTCACTCCCCAATACCTGCACCAAAATTCACAAAAGCCAAAGGAAAAAAAAAAAAAACACTCATACGCTTTCACTCAAAATCAAGCATTTCGGATTTAAAATTCGATTCTTCATGAACTAGATCTAGAAAAAGAAAATCTTAGAAGAGAAGAGAAGAGAAGAAAGGTTCCACTACAAAAAAAACACGAAATGGCGTTTTGGTGGCCATTGATAGTTCTTGCTTTCGCCTATGCGATCTGTCGTTTCTTGTTAATGCTTATTCCGTTCAATGTGCCTTCAATCGACGTCGATGCCTCTGATGGTAACTAATATATCTATACGCATACGTATTTTCGTATATGATTGTATTTCTGTTGATGATAGTGACTTAATGAAGTATTTGTTTGTTAAAATCTGTGGCAGTTACGGAAGGGAATCAAACGCAAGAGAACAGCTTCATTTATGTGAGTTCCTTTTTATTTATTTATTTTTTAATTTGCTCGCTCTTATTTTATTTTATCCTTTGCATCCATGTGTAATTTAAAACGATTGATGCATGGATTAATTAACTTAAAATAAATTTTAATCAGTTAATTATTTGTGCTTGGAATTTACTGTATTGTTATAATGCCTAGATTCCGTTGGAAAATTGAAGTTTGTAAGTAAATGCGTGAAGAGTTTCATTTCCTTCGGTTGGTTTTAATTTACTGAATTTTGATTCAACACTGTGCAGATTCCTCCGAGAGGAAGAACGCAGCAATCAGATAAAAAGGTTCAGTGCTATGAACCAGCAACGATGAAATACTTGGGATATTTACCTGCATTGTCCCCTTCTGAGGTTAGAGAAGATATACACATGCTTATGCATGCATATATGTATGACCTCGTGAAATTTGTGGCTAAAACTACTGTTGAAATGTATGGTGGCAGGTCCATGACCGAGTGGCACAGGCAAGGAAGGCTCAGAAAATTTGGGCAAAAAGTAGCTTCAAGCAAAGACGACAGTTTCTGCGGATTCTTCTCAAGTACATTATTGAACACCAAGAGCTTATATGCGAGTAAGGATGGTGGAATGATCATTTTTTTTGAAACCATTCTTAGTGATCTTAATCATTTGCAGTTTGACACAAAACTAACACCTATTGTAATTAATACGATTTCCTTGAATTCGGACAAGCATTTAAGATGCTGCTATGCTTAAAAGTCTCTGGGACCTTGGTTCTAAATAACCCATTTCTTTGTTGTTTTCTTCACTGGGTCTGGGAGGCTGGTTGGGTTGGGGACACAAGGTGCTCTGCGTACATGAATTCTTTGTTTTGCATCTCCTTTAGTGCTGCTGTGTTAGTTAAGGATTGGTCATATGTGCTATTTTGATCAGAGTATCTTCACGTGATACTGGAAAGACAATGGTGGATGCTTCTTTGGGAGAAATAATGACAACGTGTGAGAAGATCACTTGGCTTCTTTCAGAGGGTGAGAAGTGGCTAAAGCCTGAATACAGGTACCTATTGCCTTTTTTTTTCATAATCTCTTTTTACTGCATAAAAATAAACAGTATGACCTCTTAGATATTCTGTTTTTAAAAAATTGATTTGCCGCACTGCACTTCTGATGATTTCTTATTTACATGGTTGGCACATTTTGTATTGACAGCAAGCAATGTGACTTGTAAACTTGCTCTGGCTCTTGAATCCAAAATTTCACCAATTTTATCTGTAAACTATCTGGATTACTGACATTGATTACCTAAAGTAAGTATTACATCTTCGTCTTCTGAATCTTCTAATCTTTGTAGATCTTCTGGGAGAGCAATGCTTCACAAGAAATCGAGGGTGGAGTTTTACCCACTTGGTGTTATCGGTGCCATAGTTTCATGGAACTATCCTTTTCATAATATCTTCAATCCAATGCTGGCGGCAATCTTTTCAGGGAATAGCATTGTAATCAAGGTACTTCATGTTGGAATGACTAATGTTATTTTGATTTGCGTTTAATGCTTTTTGTCACTTATTGATGCACCGCATCTGTAGCTGTGCCATAATGTCATTTATTGCATTTTGATACTTGGGATGTCACTGTCGAATGCTCTGTATCCATGTCACATGTTGTTACATGTGCCCATATATTAAACTAAACAAGGTTTTCTGAACCTTTAAAGATCATTGAGTTGACAGAGAACTATATGCTTGTAATTGTAGGTTTCAGAAAATGCAAGCTGGTCCGGACTATTCTATTTCAGAATAATCCAAGCAGCTCTTGCTGCTGTGGGAGCTCCTGAAAATTTGGTTGACGTAATCACAGGGTATTCGTTTCAGTTTAGATGCCTGCACTAAACAATGGGTATATTGTTTTTTTAGCAATGATCAAAGTTTTTTTTGATAGGTTTGCTGAAACGGGAGAAGCACTAGTGTCTTCAGTTGATAAAATCATATTTGTTGGATCACCTGGTGTGGGTAAGATGGTATGGTTTCCTTGGCTAAGAATGGATTTTCTTTGGTTTTCATATAATTCTGGAGTATCATTTCACTTCATCTCATTTGATCCATATTTGATGAAATATTGGCAGATATCAATGAGTTCATTTCTTTTCCTTTTTTATTTTTTTGTAGATAATTTTTTCCCAACAGCAGCTTAATGCAGTAGTCTTTGCACATTTCATCTATGCATCATTTGTTACGGATAGAAAGTGAAGTAAAGCCACAAGTGTGCTGTCTACATTTTTTGCATTGCTTATAAACTGAAAGATTTACTTTATTGCAGATAATGAGAAATGCCTCTGACACACTTATACCAGTAACACTTGAGCTTGGTGGAAAAGATCCATTTATTGTGTGTGAAGATGTAGATGTCTCTCATGTATGAATCCTTTGTACCTGTTATGACTTCTTATGTCTAGTAAGCTTGAACAATTCTTTGGCACCTACTCAATGTTCCACTTAATGTAGGTCGCACAAATTGCTGTCAGGGCTGTTCTTCAATCAAGTGGGCAGAATTGTGCTGGGGCTGAGAGATTCTATGTTCATAGGGGCATATATTCTTCATTTGTCAGTGAAGTTGCTAGAATTGTAAAATCTGTTTCAGCTGTAAGTATGTCTGTTCTGACTTGCTTTATGCATACAATAGTTGTTTTCATGATAAATTGCAAGTTTCTCTCTAGATTTTACCCAATGACCATATGACTGCTGTATCTGTATGGTCAACGGTGTATCCATAAAGAAAACAATGACTACTTTGTTGTGTTCAATTGTGTCTATTTCCTTGTATCTTGGTGTTTGTTGTAATTTTATTAACAAGATTATTACGATTTTACTCATTTAAGACCAACCTGCATACATAATGAATTTTGCCTTTTGTTTTCAAAACTGACTTCCCATGAATTAAAGTGATTTCCCCCTTTTCTGCTATTTGTTTGCAGGGACCACCCCTTGCTGGAAGGTATGATATGGGGGCAATATGCTTGCAAGAGCATTCTGATAAGCTCCAAAACCTCGTAAATGATGCCTTAGACAAAGGTGCTGATATTGTTGCTCGTGGAAGTTTTGGCCATCTGGGTGAAGGTGCAGTAGACCAGTTCTTCCCTCCCACTGTGCTTGTAAATGTAAACCACACAATGAAATTGATGCAAGAAGAGGTACATGACTTTTTTTTTTTTTTTTTTTTGCTCAATTTTGCATTTGACATAATTTTAGAACCCAGAAGAATATTGTGTTTGAGGATCTCTTTTAGGATCATAAATGACATGATTTTAATGATTTTCTATCTTCATTAGCAATAGATTTGCTTTCACTTCAATTCTTGAGAATACATTATGACAACTTATAGAAAACGTGGCTCAAATTCCATAGCAATGTATGTGAAGCACGTATGTTAATTGTGCTGGTTAAATGTTAATGACCTTTTGTTTCTATTCATTGAGTGCCTGCTAAATCTATGTAAAACTCGATTGGCATGCAGACTTTTGGACCAATTATGCCAATAATGAAATTTAATACTGATGAAGAGGCTGTCAAACTTGCAAATGACTCGAGATATGGGCTTGGCTGCGCTGTTTTTTCTGGTAGTCAACGCCGAGCCAGAGAGATTACTTCCCAGATACATTGTGGAGTTGCTGCAGTTAATGACTTTGCATCATCTTACATGTGTCAGGTATTTCTATTTCAAGCGCCATGTGTTTGATTCTGCATTTTCATCAAGTAAAATCCAGTCAATGAAAACATTTTTTCTTTCTGAAAATTTGTGGTGAAGTTCTTACTGAGACTAGGTGAAAAGTTGCCTTGTAGCTCTCCTAGTTTTCCTAAATCAACACCATCTTTGGATAACCTTTTTATTCAATCGACGTAAAGTAAACTTATAAAGTTTTGTCTGCAATGATTCATCTTTTGCTCTTACACGAAGTCGGGGAATATAATATATATCTTTTTGAAACAAAAGCATGGCTTTTTATGGTTTTGCTACCACTATCTCTCCATTATATTCTCTATTAACTACTGATACATTGAGCAGTTGATCCTTTCCATATCTGCTATAAAATTTGAGTCATGTCAGCTTATCATATAATTTTTCATCAATCTTAGTTCTAACTGATGCCTTTTGATGTTTTCAGTCCCTGCCATTTGGTGGTGTGAAGGACAGTGGATTTGGCAGATTTGCTGGCGTGGAAGGATTGCGGGCTTGTTGTCTTGTGAAATCAGTTGTTGAAGATAGGTGGTGGCCATACATTAAAACCAAGATACCAAAGCCTATCCAGGTTGGCTTTAAAAACTCAATTTTTTTTTTTTGGTTCTGTTTTATTTCTTGAACCAAAAGGGTAAGAAAGCATTAGCCAGTAGCTTGCATAATCATGATTTGATGCAATTATTGATATTTTGACTCTTGCCTATTATAGTATCCTGTTGGGGAGAATGGCTTCGAGTTCCAGCAGTCTCTTGTAGAAGCACTCTATGGCTTGAACATATGGGATAGGCTGCGAGCACTGGTCAATGTTTTGAAGATCCTATCAGAACAACACTCTAGTGGCAGTAAAGGCAGAAATGACTAAGGTGATCCTTCAAGGATGCTGGCTTGTTCATACATTTCACCAATATTGAAGATTTTTAGGAGCTTGACTTCCCATTGTTTGGAACCGCAATTTTCTTGCATCCTTAATTCACAACTGTTATTTGATTTGGAAATCAAGATGCATTTCCATCTCATTTTCAGGGAGAAACTCGGTACCTTTTATGCTAAATTTTGTAAACAAGAAAAAGCAAAGAATTCTGATTTAGTTTGACTAACATTACTTGTAGTTCGCTTATGCTAACAAATACTGGTTCTTTCGATTCCCTTTTTTCCCCGGCTTAAGGAAAGAGTTATTTCTCGAACAAGCCTGATACGTACGTTTCATACATGGTTTATTATAACTGTGTTTTTGGTCAATGTATAGTGTAACGTTACTAATTGAATTGTAGATTGGGATCGCCAAAAGAAATTTTGGAAATAAGGTCTCGGTTAAGAAATAAGTTGGATGTCAGCATTTCTGAAGGGAAAATCCAGTAAATTTGCGTGCATAACATATCGTCTTTTCCTGATTTCATGTACGGCCATGTTTAGAACTTGCAGTTTAATCCCATTAAGCGTCACTCGGCTTCCGTTTCAAAGCAGCAGGCTTCTTTATCGCCTTTTTTCCAAGGTAGACACATGGGATTAGATCCTTTGGATGCTCTCAAAAACAAAATTATGAATTTTAAGGAAAGAAAATAAATTTGCTGCACTTTTACAGAAAGCTCACAACTATGACTTGACCGCTACTTGCCTTCTTATCTCGTCCAAGGTTCACAGTAAAAATGCATGCTGAGCGTGATTCTTGCTGTATTTGCGGGAAATTTTAGTACAACAAATTGTTTTCCTGTCTTCTGTCCAATACTACTCACACCTTAATGCACGAGTGATCTCCCACGGAATTGCATCGGTCTCCTGGGTTATACTCTGAGTGAGTCCATAACCCTGCCTCTTGCCATTCACTAATGCAACTATGAAGCTCTCATTCTCTAGTGATGAAGGATACATAAATTGTTCATCCTGTAATACATACAGAGAATCAAGAATGAAGTGAGCAACTCGAACCTTCCCAAATAAGAGAATTTTAGTCAGTCCAGTAGAGATTCTTGGTAACTAGATTTTGATGTGGTCACTATGCTTACAATTACTTTCAGCGCTTCAGATTGTCATCTCCTGCATAATTTTTCAAGTGTCATGGAAAAAGTTTTGTGCAACTAAGGAACCAAGTAAACAGCTGGAACTGTTCCTCAGTTGAGCATGGAACAACAAATTGGACAACGATGGTAAAAATGGATTGTCTAATACCATCTTTGAACCAGCAAATTGGACAACCATGAATTCCACCAAAATGATTCGGATTTTTTTTTCACACCTATTATTGTTCAAAATAGCACCATGCTTAAACTATGCATCCATGAGTGGATGAAAACGTGCATATCAAACATGTATACATGCAAATGGCATCACTTTGATACCATCACATGTAGACATGGTAATGGAACAAAATTAAAAAAGCCATCTTAACTCTCCCTATAGACATTTTTTGGGGGAAAAATCATTGCATCAATAGAAGCTTGTGCAAAATGAATCATTGAGCTCAGTCCTTACCTCAGGGAGATCATAGAATTCATCAGGGGATATCTGCAGCAACTCCGTGGCAGTTTGATTGACACACCAAGCAAACATCTTTCCAGTCTCGTCTGCAAGAGTGATTTTCAGGTGGAATGTGCGCACAACTTCAGCATCACAATTACAATGACAGAAGCTGCATTCAATATCCCCACTAGGCATCTTGTTAACAACATGACCACAACGAGAATGTGCAAATCTTGTACTCACATGACATTGATCAACTTGGTCAAGCCGAACTCGACAAATCTGTTAACATTTTTGTTGAAAAATTAAGTAAAAGGATTAGCATATGAAAGCATAAACACTCTTTTCATTCAAGACGCCATCCAACAAATGATTTCTCATACCAACAATACTGAAGCTAAAGGTACTTAAAACTTCAGTAAAAAAAAAGAAAGTTGAGATAGTCAAATATAGTTGTCAAATAATGGTGATTGTATTGCTAATGACTGCATAAAGCTGAAATGCAAGTAAAAAGATTTATTCAAGAATAGCAAATCCAATCCAGTAACAGCAAGAACCTACATATGTACAACTCGCTTCACTGGATAGATCAGAGAGGCTCGATAACTTATGAAGACAAGATGAGTTCAGCAATGCTGGCAAGCAACTAAGGTTTACGAAGAGAGCCCCTGCTGCATTCTCATACCATGTTGCTTCAAGGCTGCAAGTGAAGTAAGCAATCATGGAAAGAGATTCTTGAAAAACAATACACAGCCAGAATGGACTAGAAACCACATAAACTCATCCACCTAATGCGCACATGCTAATCAGCTTCAACTGAAATTAACGGAGATAAGTCATTATATTTTGAATATACTCACCACTTATGTTTATTCAGATGGCACGACAATCCAGATAAATACACTGTGTGACCAATACCCAGCCTCCCGAATGACCTGAGAAACAGGGAAGTATGTAAGACAATAAACTTGGGAAGGAATCAATTTGTCCTATAGTTCACAGTATTGATTAAGTTCATTGTTGATACCAAGATCTAGCAAAATGTAGCTTTGCCCAAATTGCTCCAGTTGTGTCTTCAATTTTTAAGGAGAAAATAACTTCTGCAGTATTTCTTTCATGGAAAATGTCTGTTACAACACCATAGAGGCTGACACTAGTCATCTTGTCACGAAGGTCAGTTACAAATGACTGCAGAACTTTGGAAAAGTGAGAAGAGTTACTGATAAAAATCAAATTCAAAAGTAGTCAAAACTAACATGCATGAAAAGGAAGCTACAAAAAGCAATATCTTTTTGGTCTACCACTTCCATGCTTCAAGCAAGAAAATTATACTGAAACAAAAATGAGTGCAGATTGAAAGGGCACAACGCTTAAAGCAGAGCACAAAAAGGAGAGAAACGTGTTTCCTTCTATTCGTAACAAAAACAGCAATGGTGATATTCTACATAAATTGTGCCCTAATGTTCTCCGGATATAAGGTTTATGTCCTAATGTTCTCAGGGTATAAGAAACCAGTGAGCTACTACATTATAATGTCACTACTTGGAGAACTAGAAACTAATCACATCAAAATAGATGCATTCTTCAATGGACATGTGCTGGTGACTCTCAAGATATAAGACACATAGGAAATCTGCTTGAATGAGGCAGCGTTATAGATACTCACTTGAAAAGGATAACAGCTGAAGTCAATTGATCCCTGAAAATCACGGGGCAATGCCACTTGTGAAACCTTAAGACTCTGAGTAGGATCCACCGTACTCACCAGTCTTGAGCCCTGATATCGGTTCTGTGTCAAGGGTACATATACCTGATAAACAAAGTAAGGCAAAAGTTAGCTCTCAATTCTAAATGACAACACATCAATCAAAAATCACAGTTGACTTGCCTGTTCCTCATGTTGCAGGAAAGGCACCAAAAACAATTGTGTTGCACTACCATATTCAAGACAAAGTTCATGGCTTGTTTCAATAGCACTCTCTGCAGAACTTGCAATATACGGTCTATCAAGTGCAAGCATACTTCCAACACTGCAAGGACATAGCATCACGGCTTATAGGCAACAAAGGAATAAAATAGAACATGACCGTAGAAAAAGTCCAGTGGTAAGTGTTTACCTGAAAAGATTGGCAAGGAGAACCTGCTCTCCCCACAAGAGAAATTCCACTTTGACACCATCATTATCAACAAGAGTAATTTCTTTCCTCTGTACAGTTCCAGACATTCCTTGAATTTCCTTTGACTGAATAGATTCGATCCTGCATATAGAGTGGAACAATGGTGAAAAAAATTCTGGACTATCTACTGCTGGTTGAAGCATTACAAAGCATAATCCTGATCATCCTTAGTTAAAATATTTCTTGTTCAAAAGAAAAGAAAAAACAAAAGTCATGTTGATTTAGCAACTTTACTGTCAGGAAACAGGTTTTTATCATTTTCTTCAACTCTTATCTAAACAAATAAGCATGAACTTTCGTGAGACAGTAAAGTTTGAGTACTTAGGTTTTATATACAGTTATACTTTGAAAGCTACAAAATCGAAACCATCTTGCAACAAGTCAGCACAAGGTTGAGAGATAATACTGAAAAAATTTGAAACAAAACTGACCTTGCATATAATGAATACGAAACTCCATTGCTTGCCTCATTAAACGAAATGGAAGAGAAAGAATCTGAACAAAACTGAGCTGCTATCAGCATAGCATCATCATCCTGATCCTGCAATATAGAAAATCAAGTTAAATGCTACAGAAGATCCCCAACCAAATATATATATGTGTGTGTGTGTGCACGCCAAAAGTTGGTTCTTGTTTGAATTTTCGTTGAAAACAGAAGCTGAAGAGAAAAGGACAGCAAAAGACACTTTGAAAGTTACATCGTCTAACAATATCACAAAATATTCCGTTGGCAGAAGTCGGGGAGAACCAGCTCCTTCTTTGCCTGTTCGAAGATAGCATCCTGTGAGGAAAACTTCCCTCCCTTTATTCAAAATTCCACCATGAGCATCCACTAAATCATAGTATCTACATAAAAAAAGTAACGCAAACTAAGCTTCAGATAAAAATTTAAATTCATACATAAGAATAATTATCTGATACACAAGCATACCATGACGGGCGCAACAAAAAAATTTAAACCACCAAAAGCATGCATTAACAGGTTGTGTAACTTGAAAAATCCACATTAATCCAAGGAGTAGAGAAGCATGGTTTTTAATGCAATAAGCCACAAATTGGGGCATAAATTAAGAAAATGTGACACCTACATAATTATATAAACCGCATAAACCACAGCTCTCAACCAATTAAGGCACATAAACCATGACAAGGCACACTACAGTAAGATGGACATGAATTTACCTTCGGTGGAGATAAAGGTCGATAGTATTGGAGCTCCAAAAATCCCCTAAAGTAAGCATATAGATATTTGTCCCTAAACAATAAGCAAACACATTAACAACATAAACAACACCAAAATTAATTCCATAACAACATTTCTATTATCACTAAAACTATGAATCAACTAATAACCAAACACACGACGCTCTAATCTTATACCGATACCTGGTAGAACAAAAGCATCGACAATAACAGCTTCCAAAACACTATTTAAAGATAGAAAATTCTTCTCATAAACAGAATCAATAGTCACAGTATTTGCTAACTTATTTCTCCTGTGTTTCTTCTTCAACTGATTGATAATTTCCGGTCTCTTCTTCGATATGCTACTCCTCCGTTGCTCACTCCACGCCTTGAAAACAAATCAATCAAATTATAATCATTAATTAACTCTTACAGAACAAATATTAGCAACAATATCGTAATAATTTATTAAAAGGAAACCTAACAATTTACTTGAGAGAGATCTGAAAGGAGAATAGCAGAAGTGACTCCACTTGAGTAAGCGATACAAGTTTTGAGGATCCGACTCGCTATCCAGCTCCAACCCGGTCCGGTGGAATCAGATCCGTTTCTATTAGGATTGTAAGTTTCTTCATCTTCGTCTTCTTCAACAGGAGATAAAACGGATCTAGCGCGATCGATGAATGCAAGAAACGGGTCTCCTTGGTTGTCTATGTCCATTAGTGAGTCCTCGTTTGAGTTATTGAGTTGAGTCATGTTTAACTCGCTGATTTGCGATTTCAAAAACCTGGATTCTCAGTCCCAGTGAAGGGTTTTAATTGGGAGGGAATTTGAACTGTTACGATGCATTTTGGCGCGGGATTTTTTTAATTTGGGATATTTCAAGGTTTGATTTTGGGCCTGTCCTCTTTGCTTGTAAGTCCATATAGAGGAGTTCTTTTTAAATAACCGCTAAGTCTTAACACTTTTTAATATAAAAAATAAAATAAATTCAACATGCCTTAACTATTAGAGAATTTGCGAAGACATAACCATCAAGAGAGAGAGATTTTAGCATGAAAAGCAATCTCATGATTTTTCTTTTCGTTATTTAATTGATTAAATTTTCTTGGCTGGAAAATTGGAAAGTATATGTTTTGAATAATTTTCTTTGCAAAATAATAAAATATAACAAAACGCTAGTCATAAACACAAACGTGGAATAAATAGCGTATTTACAACTACGTCATTGTGTTTGTGTTAATTTCGTAACCTGTAGTTGCATAACTCATTTTCTGCTCACGAAAAAAGAAAAAAAAATCCATGAGATGAGAGCGTTCGTTATTTTTCTGAATTTTTTGGATCAGATATCTATAGGCATCTGTTCTATCTAAGAACAGACGCAGATGTGCGTTTAGAATTCAAGAGGAGATGTAAGGATATTTCCCATACTTGGTTTAAAACGCCACAATTGTTTGAAATGTCGAGCATATGTAAAATACATCATGGCTGTAGCCTGAAAAGTTACTGCATTGTATATGTGTATGTATATATATATATATATATATATATATATATAACAAGATGGAAAGAAGGATGGCCTAGCTCCTAGACAATCAAATGGCATTTTCAAGAGTCGTAACCGACAAGATGAGGATCATTATAGATGTTAATTATACATGGAATCAACATAATGTATTTTCTCCATTCTAAACATTAGCCCTTTAATCCCCAAAACAAGTCGGACCAATTTAAACCATCTAACACTCCCTCCCAAAAAGCTAACTAAGAAAGAGGCTTGCATGGGGAAAGTGAAAACACAAGTATGAAGAGAAATGATGTAGCACCCATAAAATCTTGATAGATATGTCAAGTAAGCAGTATCTCAGAGGACAGCCACAGCACCTGCAAAAACTTTATCCTGAACTCAGTTAATAGTACTTAAATTTCTCGTTTCAATGTCACATCAACGATCCCTACTGGAGACTTGGGCCGATAATGTTCATCCGTGTCCACCTCTTCGATTTCCTGTGGAACATTGCACATAAAAGGTTACTGAAAAATGATACAGCTAGAAGGCAGATGAACAAATCGCTCATTAATCACATGCTTTGTACCTGCACCACATCCTCTCCCTTTATGGCCCGTCCAAACACCAAAAGCTTGTCATTTAAATCTGGAATGGGTGCAGTAGTAATGAATAGCTCAAATCCTGTGCTATCTCCAGTTTTTGAGGTTCCAATCATAAAAGCTTCGTGCTTTGGGCTGGTTATCACAATTAGAAATTATCATTGCAGAAAACAGCCAAATTCTAAAAATGGTAGTCATAAAATTTCAAGCCAGAAAACCTTGTAGCAAGCCTACTGTGAAGCTTTCCTTTAGCGGTCCAATCTTCAGGAGCTCCAAGCCCTTGGGCATGCCCTGCTTGAATTACATAATGCTTTATCACGTGATGGAAAGGCATCCCTTTGAAGTACCCCTTTTGACTGCAAAACCAAATTTGAAGATTTAAGAGAAACAAAGCTAAATGATTATAGAATTAAATAAAAACAAGAATGAAAAGAGAAAGAGCATCGTAACTACATTACTGAATTAGAAACTGATCAAATAATTGGTCTTCTGACATTACACAAAACCACAAAAAGAAAAAAAGAAGAATTATAGAAAGGAGTTTCTAAGCAATCTGTCATTTTAAAATTTTTTTAAAAATAGAAGCCAAATTCATTCAACACATTCTTGTTATTGCATGTTTAAAAATATCAGTTTGACGAGCCATGTTTCTGTTTAATGGAATCAGTAGATCTAGCTAGAAGACTACCAATTTATGTTGTTTCTTACCACAAGTCAAGGAATTTGTCCACGATCATCGGAGAACCATCTTTGTACAGTTCTAGTGTTATATAACCTTTTGATGTATTCAGAATCTACAGAGGAAGGAAAGATCAAGACTAAATAAGTGCAAGGAATTCCAATCACATTATAGCAATGCAAATATGGTTTTATAACAACAATTAGTCATAAAGCCATTAAGATAAAAGCAAAGGTGTTTAAAAAGGCTCAAGAAGAAATCATAAATCAATTGCATCTCAGTGACTTCCTAACAGATAGTCCTAGAGACATTTTGTGTTTTAAAATTCCAGTTTAACTTCATCAGGAGAGAATTTTCGCATTCAGAGATGGGCCACTAAAATATCCATTGTCTGTTATAGTTTATGCATGGTTTATCCAATCATGCTTCATGCAGGAAGAGACTGTCCTTCAAGCCCGTGTTATAATTCAAGTGGTGTTATAATTCAAGTGCTACGTGTTATTATACTAGTACTCTATATACCACAAGCATGCTCCAATGCCCCTCACACCCACACACAAGTGGCTCTTCCAAATGGATATTTAACATAGCTTGTCAAACAAATACATTGCACCAGCATCTCAAGCAACATCTGCTACAATCAACTATCACGGATAAAAATTGTAGCAAGCTAATGCAACAACTTACAGCATAACCAGGGAGATCGTACTTCTTCGAATCTGCAAATGAATCGGCAGTGTCCTAAATAACATGAAATGTAATCAGCTTTGAATAGTACAGATTTACTTCGATAAAAAGCATAATTATGATTGTATCAATCATGGAATCACTGAATTGCTAGATGATGAAGAAACTACCTAACAACTTTTTACAAAAAGAAGAAAAAATCCTACATACCTCGAGAACCGATGCACCACTTCCTGGTTGGTTCCTTGACCTGCAAATTACGGATTGAATGAAAAGAATCATTTCTGAACAAAATCCATAAGTGGATTTTCCAGAGAAAACTGATGACAGTAATCCGCAAAACAACAGGTGCCACTGAGTAAGGAAGGACAGCAAACCTTTGCGACCAATGCCTATATGTTGCAACTAAAGACAATACAATCACCACAACAACTAAGTTACAGAGAAATATAGTAGTGGCGCTGATTCGAGCAGGGCCCTTCTTCTTTTTGCTCTGATTTAGCAATGCCTGAGGTTTTATCCTTGCCATGAAGTGCAACTTTGACTATATTTTCACAGACCAAAAAAAAGCCTGTAAATTGCAAAGGACACTCAATACTGGGCCAGGTAAAGAATACATCAAATATATAGAATCTCAAAAAATGAAAACTAGTGCACCACTAATTCCAGTCAAATATTTTAATCCCAGTCCTTAAATAAATAAACTATGTAGCGAGCAGTAACTGTAACATGCTTCTCTAAGTGAAATGAATACCTTAGTTACCATCGCTATAACAACACTTTCCTTTCTCATCATTATTTGATCAAATATATCAACTTGGATTTACAACCCTTAAAAATCACCTCAATGTCCAGAACAAGTAATTCTATCAATTAAACCCCACCGTAAAATGACTGAAAAGGTAACTATACTACATATATCTTGTATAAGTTTTCGTGTTTATCTAAAATCTATCTTAATCTATTAGGCAAGCAAACATATACAGTTAAACAAACATCCTTCAAAATGACAGCAAACTTTAATCCATTCCACTGAAATTAATTCCAATATCTGAAAATCAAAGCAATGATTCACTTACCAAATTCGATATCCAATAAAAAAATCCGTGTATAATTCTTGTTTTGCAAGTTCAATTAATCGGATAAAACAATTCATAATGGACATTTCTTTTTTTGATGTTAAATAAATGCAGAACGACAAAATTAGAAACAGCAGATTCCTATCAAAATAATAAAAATATTAATTTTCAGCTCAATAAAAGAGAATTAAAAGGATAAAATTTGAATTCAGATCCAAAATTTATCTTAAAAATTGAAGAAAAACAGGAACCCTACCATTTCATGAAGTATGAAAGCATAAAAGTAATAATCACGCAGTACACATAGCTTGAAAATTAACGAGACCGTACCTTAATTGATAGAACTGGTAAAATTATAGCGTGCCACAACCGGTGACGTTAATAACCTTTCTACTACTTAAAGAAGGAGATAATCAGAACCCTGAGAGTTAGTTGAAATTGATTAATAAGAGATTAGGTAATGGTAATTCATTAGTTAAGTTTCAAGGTGGTGTGGGCTCCACAGAAGAAGATTCAAAACCTGGCCACATAACGAGAGAGAGAGTGAAATGGACGGCTTTGATGAAATCAAGGTGGATGACAAAAACACGCTTACAGTATAATACACGGTTGAAGACGTGGTTATAATTTCTTTGTGGCCCCTTTTGCAAGGTGAATTTCACTTGGCCCAACCCTACAGTCTGTATCTATGGGTTTTTACACTTTCTGGCCCACAACAACTAATGACTATATAACGAGAGAGAGTGAAATGGACGGTTTTGATGAAATCTAGGTGGAGGACAAAAACACGCTTACAGTCATAATGACATGGTTGAAGACGTGGTTATAATTTCTTTGTGGCCCCATTTGCAAGGTGAATTTCACTTGGGCCTAGCCTACAGTCTATATCCATGGTTTTCTACACTTTCTGGCCTAACTACGACTAACCTCAAATTTTTACCCTATCTTATAGGTAATAATAATAATAAAAAAGAAAGCGACTTCAACCATAATTTTGAATGCTGAAGTAATATTCATTTCTTCTACAAGGTAGCATGGTACCGCTTTTATATTTTGATCCTTAGTAATTGAATTAGGATAAATTAGACAAAAATTTGGCAATGAGCATGTAACTCTAATCATATCGATAATCTCCACAGCCCAACAGGGATTGGAGCTTTTTTCTTGTAGAAATATAAAAAAAGAAAAACGACAAATTTATATGGTAATCGGACTCTGTTAAGAACTGATTGTAGGCCATCTGACTCTCCACCTACGGATTACAAGTACCCCATTTGTTTGTGGACCTCTTTGCAAAGTGTACAAAAGATTAGACAAGAAGTTGTTTGTAGGCCTTTTTGCAGAGTACAGTAAATGGGCCTACGCTATTAATGGGTTTCTGATACTCTCTGGCCTTGTACCAATCACTAGTTCAAGCTCCAAACTCTCTTTCGGTCTTTCCTGCCCTTTTAATTTGTAAAGGCATTCACTAGTACAAATTTCCAACCATAGTTCCTTGTTTTTTCATTTCAGAATTGGATCGTGGTTTCTATTTTTTATGCTGTAACATGGTGTAGTTTGTGTATTTAGGTTACGATAGGGTAACTTAAATATCTTTGTGTTCATTAACAGAAATTCCAAGTCGTTGCCAATATATAATCCCATAAATAAATAGGGGCCAAGCAAGCGAGCAGTGACAAGACCTGCAGATGAGTTGCATGATGCTGGTAATTTCCGCCACAAAGAGTGGCAATTTCGTCATCAGACGAATCCGCTATTAACCAACAAAAATTCCATGACCCACTGCACCCGCCCTAAACTTCCCAGTGACAGACCCACGCAGTGAAAAGAAAACCAGTCAGAGAGAGAGAGAGAGACTCAGCATCAGCGATGACCAGGCAAAAGAAAACTCTTTAGCTTGAAGACTACGCCTTCTTCCTCCAAGATCGTTTCCGTGAAAATGCTTTAACCATCCCTCAGCTTAATCAGGTATTAAAATTCCTCTATTTTCTCTCAATTTTTCACCAGCCAAACAAAACCTTACCTTATTTTTTTCCTAATTATTTTTTCTTTTATTTTTACTCAGATTATTCTCATGCATGGATTCAGAAGAATACACAAGCGCTCCAAAGCACGTGATATAAGCACTTCTTAATTACTATATTTTTCCAGTATTATTTTTTAATTTTTTATATTTATTTCAGCGTGAGGTTTTGATGCATTGAGCACGATAGATTAGATAGCACCACAACGATCGACACTGAAAGACAACTTCTCACCGTACGTTGACGCTTCACTCTCGCTCGGTCAAGTGAAACAAGACTTGGAATCTTTGAAACGGCAGGAATGTTCAGTGCAATCAATTGAGACCGTACGTTACCATCACAAAACTGACGAGCAATTCAGATCCAACGTTCATGATGATGTTTTGAAGAGTTTTGTGCGGTCGTCGTTTCAGATAAGCAAGAAGAGGAGGAGATCAAGGAGGATGAGAACATTGAATAGCATCGTGGATGATAGTGGTGCGGTGCATGGGCATGCTGGTGTTCGGGGTGATGCTGACGTGGCTAGTGGTGGCGTAAATAAGTGGGGTTCGTCTTTGTATGTGCAAACGTACGGGTGGGAGTTCTGATTCGGTATTGGGGCGGGTGCCATTTGTAAATGCAAGTGAAAACTTAAAAAAGACAGATGATGGTCACGTGATTCGCACGATTAGAGTACCGTACATATCATGGTCCCTCAGGATTAGAGGATTTTAGTAGCTGATGGGTGAAGGCCACTGGGGATACCTGTTTTCATTTTCATTTTTCGCATTTGCAAACAAATAAAAATGAGTACCATATCATCATCTATAGAGTGACAAGAGATTCTCTTTATGAATTATCTCATTTTGGGTGTTTTATTATACCTCTGATTGATTAAAAATGAAAATGAAAGCTCAAAGTTTTGTTCAAATTTTCTATTTGATAAATTTAGTTGCTTAATTTGTTGATCATTTCTATCTAATTTCGATAAAGATAGAAAACTAATTATAATTGTACTGAATATGATTTTTTTTTTGTTCCTAATTTGTGATTCTATAATGTGTTCTAGCTGTTGATACCTTAAAGTAGTTTAAGATCATTGGCTGAAGGGTTAATAAGTTGAGATCAAGAGCTAAAAAAGTAGGCATGCTGATAAATATGCAATATTTTTCTCCTAGAGGTTATGATCCAAGTTAAGTTTATAACTATTGAACTTCATTCTCTTTCAACGGTTTATTCTTCCAAGAGGAAAGGACGGACCATTCGAACTTTACTAAAAAAAACTAAACCGAATGGGGGTGAGACTGTTCATGCTACAGTCCCCCTTCTCTTTTTTCGCTTTTGTTTTTCTTTTCTTTTTCTTAACCAACCAACCCCCCCCCCCTCTCTCTCTCTCTCTCTCGCTTTTTTTTCTTTTTTTTTCTTTTTTTAAAGACTTAAGTTGCTAAACTAATCCTTTACAGTCTCGTTACTGTAGCATCTTTCATAATCCTATTATTGTAGCTTTTTTAATTTTTTTTCTCGACTTGCATCTCTTTTTTTCTTTTTCTTTTTTTTTAATGAATTGGGCTGTTGAGATTTAGTTTATCATTTTTTTTATTTGTTAATAATTTTTTTTATATATAAGACTTTTGAAATAAAATTTTGGAACATAATTGTTTTATTTTTTAAGATATATTATTATAATTTATACGATTAATTATTTTTATAATTTTTGTATGAAAATGGTGGTGTTACTTATATAAATTCTAATGAGAGAGAAAGAGCTAAAAATGTGTTTTAAATAACTTGACTTCGTTTTTTAAAAAATAATAATCAATTAAAAAATAATTTGACTTGAATTTTTTTCAAAAAATTAATAATTATTTAAAAAAATTCACGGTTTTATTTGGTTAAATATAAATATATAATCAGAATTTATTTAAACTAAATTTATATTAGTTTTTATTTAAATCTATTCACTTCAACATATTTCATATAATTTAAATGGTTACACACACATAACACACCAACTAGGCACGACCCTACTCTTTTTTTTTCTTCCTATAATTTATTTTATATTTTTAAAAGTCCGGCCACCAATCTCATGATAGAACAAAAAAAAGTTGATTAATTATTTTAAATCTTGATGTGTTTTGGGATTGGATCACCAATAGGCAAAAAGAAACTATTAAAAGAATATACATATTGTCATAACATAAGTGCTATACAAGTTAAGCAATCATATATAATCGGTCCTTTCACGGGGAAAGAAAACATATGTATTATTGGTGCTTTTAATGTATTTGAACCAATAATAATTATATCTTTGATATTGATGTTAACATACATATCCGATTATTTTATTATTATTGTTTAAAATTTATTTCTTATTAAAATTCTCATTAAATTAATTTTTTTTAATTTTTTGATATAATTTTATTTGTTAATAAATTTGGTTATTTAATATATGAATTTTGGAATAAAAATTTAAAATGTCAATGTTTTATTTTTTTTCAAAATATATTATTATAATTTATAAAATAAATTATTTTTATATTTTTAAATGAGTGTTTTACTTATATATATACACACAACACACACACACACACATACAAAGAGAGAGCTAAAAATATGTTTTAGATAATTTGACTTAATTTTTTTAAAAAATCACAATGAGTTCAAAAAATTCACAAGTTTTATTTGCTTTTTTATATATATTTATTCAGAATTTATCGGAATCAATTTTGCTGTAGTTTTTATTTTAATCTGTTGACTTCGATATATTTCTACAATTTAGGTGATTTTTTTCTTTTAATTTTACTATATATATAGTTTTATTAAAAATTAATTATATATAGATTTGATTTATGTTAATCACAAAAAATAAAAATTTTTACTCGCATTACAATATACGAATTGTTAATCCTATTTATATAACGATTGTCCGTCCGCAACGTAGCACTTGTATCTAACTAGTAAATTACTACTTTTAGTGGTGGCATCCCGGGCTGAACCACAACTTGGGATCATGAACAGTTACTGAAATTGTTATGATAAGGTTCGTCCGTAGAATTTCAAAGTCTCTGCTCCTGAGATTGTTTCTCCCAAAATCTCGTATTCTGTTTCTTGTTTTCTATCTCTACCTAAATCTGGGACCATGATAAAGGAAAACGTAGATAAATTTTGAAGTGTTGATACAGACGCTCTTCCTGTTATTATTTTGATTTCGAATGAGAATACACCAGAGAGAGAGAGAGAGAGAGAGATCTGGCTAAGAATATATGTAAAAGGTAATCTGGAAAAGAAACAAATAAATAACTAATCGAAGGGGATAACATAAGAAATCATGAAAGCACCCCAACTCCCCACATGTTTTGGAGATATATTTTTAACAAATTTAGTTTCCGAAGCCCAAACCAGCCATCCTGCGCCTTTGGTTTATACAGGGCCCTTCTCAAGGCGCAAATGCGAAAGACGTCTCTCCAATCCTCCTTGTCTAATCAAAACTGAAAACTGAAAAGGGGCCCGTGGCTTGCAAGTTTTTTTTCCTCTAGCTCTATAAATGGTAACAGTGAACTTACTAACTACTACATCGATCAATTAAATTGTTTCAATTTCAACATATATATAAACTGAACCGAACATAAAAAAATTTCAAGAAAACAGAAGATGTGTTAGTATTTTATATTTTTTGCTGGACTTGCTATCTATCTGTGCTTGCAAAACTTCGGTATTGGGACAAAAAGACCCAGTACATGTCTTGCATTTTTTGCATCACCCTTTTTTTTTTAATATATTGAGCACAATTATAACATCACATGCCCCTTTGCTAAAATTTGGCATATTTTTTTTTAAGAAAAAGATTATTTTTAAATTTTATTTATAAAAATAAGGTTGTTTTAATTTTACTTATCCAAATAGAATACTTTTTGCCATGTGAATCAACTCATATGCAAATGTCAGTTTTTTTAATGCTATATTCACTAATAATTTTTACAATAATTTTATAAAACTCTAATTAAAATATAAAACCTGATCCAAAAAAAAAAAAAATCTTTTATGAGGGTTTTATAAAATTATTAGTGAATTTAATATTATAAAAAACGAACATGTTCATACTAAAAAAAATTCTTTTTGTTTGAAAAATAAGATTAAAACATTTATATTTTTACAAATAAAATTTGATAGTTACAAGCCACGGAGAGTGAGCAGCAAGTAAAAACCGCATTTTACACTTACCTTTACCCATCCTACAGAACTATCAACCGTCCAAGTTTCCTATAGACGGCATATTTTCCAACATTTTCTGTCATGAATTCCATGTTTGAATCCCCGGACAAGTCATGAAATTAATTAGCACAGAAATACATGCACAAATTTGTATTTTTTTCCAATTAAATCACGTTATCCTTTGGTTTATTAGCTGGGTTTTAGGTAGGGCGCAAATCAGCTTCATCTCCCTTATCAAATTATGAAAAATAACCATAACAGTGGCTAACTTATATAATTTAGTTATACATTAGATTTTTTACCCGTCCTATGTTGCATGTTAGATAAAATATATAAAATCATATATAAAAATCATTTCGGTTTAATAATCTGTTTTATAGTAAAAAATAATTATAATTTTTTAATAAAAAAATTTGTATTTAACTATTTCTTATTTGTGTTTTTAAATTTTAAAAATAAATAATAAAAAAATAAATTATTGATTTCTTTAAAATTTTAACACCCAATTAATTGTTGATTCTTTTAAAATTTTAACACTCAATATTATTAAGAAACAAAAATTAAAAAAATTCATTGTTTAGAAAAAAACAAAAAAAGAAGGTCAGCCGTTTACTGTTTATGTGAACAGTAAAAAACGGAAATTAAAAAAAAATTCAGTGTTTAGAGAGAGAGAAAAAAAGATAGCAAGCCGTTTACTGTTCAGATGGGTGAAAAAAAGGAGGGAAAGAAGGCCAACGAGTGTTGGCAAAAAAACCAAAAAAAAAGTCAAAATACTGTTTAACACTGATTATTATTACAGTAAAAATGATTTTTCTTAGGATATAATAGAATAATAATGGATGACAATAATGGAGTCTACCGCACTAGTTAAACATTTATATTATCTTTATATCAGCTTTTGCATGTTTAGATTATGTCTGTTCTTAGTAAGTAAGATCCATAGGATAGATAGTGGGTTACCCTCCTTCACCTCAAAAGAAATAAGGCAATAATATACATGATACTATATATATAATAAAGTTTGTACAAGAAAAGGAAATGTCCAAAAGACCTAGACTCACGCATACCAACTCTTCTTTTATTTTTTTATTTTTTTTATTATTATATTGGCATATGCTAAACATAGCAAATTATTAGACATCAGGAGTTGCATTCTATTTTCTTATAAAAATATAAAATTTATTATAGAAATAATTTAAGGGTCTCATGTTTTTATAAAAAGAAAAATACAGCTTTCAATATATTAAATAATTTCTCCATTAAATATTGAAAAAATGCCAGGTCTCGTACTCATAATATAAATTTTCTTCGATCGAAATATGTACATCTTCTCCATCACGCATTTTCCTGGCTTGGATATCAGGTATTTTTTCAGAACGTTCAGGTCTCTGAATGT